GTCCAAACCAAGGTTAAGAACATAGGCACCGGAGACCTCATTCCTCAAGCTATGAGCTGTGATGCACTGGGCAGTAGGCTCTGTCTTTCCCTGCCTCAACTTTCTGAGCTCTAAAAGGGTATGATGGTAGGAGTACTTGTAGGGCTGTTGTGAGGTTTGATTGAGTGCAGAAGGTTTGGTGTGGGGTGGGCACACAGCAAGCCCACAGGAGAGATGGAGGTTTTTATTACTCTTAGTGCCCCATAGGCAGAGAGCTTCCTAAGAATGGGACTGTGTCTTCCTTGTTTATCCTGTATGTCCAGAGCCTGGTATGCCTGGCACATACACACTCAAATATTTATTGAATTAATAAGTGAAGGAATGCGTGACCTACAGCATAGGGACATTAATAATCATGCTTCCCTTAAGGTTGTCATAAGGAGCCAGAATCCACTTGGGCAGGGCTCCCTGCACAGGACTCAGCCAGTCCTACACACAAACCCATGGACCCACCTACTCACAAAGGCTCATTCCCCCAAGTTCCAACATTTGCCTGTCATTTCCTGATGCCTGCCGTGGTGCTAGACCTCAGATGGGTGAATCACCTCACCCCTCCTCCAAGGGCATCTGGGCTGGCTCAAGCAGTCCTCGTCATCAGTTTGATCTTGCCAGTAACTGGATGAGGCTAGTATCACCTCATATCCCAGATGACGACACTGAAACTCTGAAGCACCAAGGCTACCTGGGCTTCCTGACCTGGCCAGTGAGGCAGAGCGATGGCCACCCCCTGCCTCCTCCGGGTAGGGAGCTTGTGAGTTCACAAACACTGTGAATCCAGCCTTGATTCTGGGCCCACAAGGTTCCAATCACACAGATTCATTCAGCAGATATTCCCTGAACACCTAGTTGTGCCAGGCCTGGGCTCTTGGTGGCAGGCAGGACAGACTCATAGTTGAAATGGGGACAAAGATATTAATCAAATAAGACTCTAATTGTAAACTATGATAAATACAACAGAAAAAAAAAAGAAACAAAAAAATGAAAGAGGGAGGCTTCCCATGGAGGTGACATCTGACCCAAGGATGAGCAGGCATTAACTGCTGGGCAAGAGGGGTGTTCAGGACAGAGAGGATGGCATGAGCAAGGAGCTCGAAGCCCAAGGAGGCAGCACGTTGCAGTGGTAAGAGAGGGAGCTGGAGCAGGCAGGATAAGAGAGAAGGAAGGTACCTGGCTTGGGAGGCGACGTCCAGGAGTTGGAGCTCTGTCCTGAGAGAAAGGCAGCAGGCATTGAAGGGTTGGGAGTGTGTGAGCAGATTTAGTTTTAGAAAGATCCGCTGGCTACCAAGTGGACAGTAGATCGAAGGCAACGAAATCAGAGACACGTAACGAGCTGTCACAATCATCTAGAAGAGGATACTACAGCCTGACTAGGGAGGAGGCAGTGGAGATGGGGGGAAGGGCCGGTTCCAGAGGCTCCTAGAGGGTAGAGTGGACTGGGTGATAGATTGGATAGGGTTGGGGCTCGAGGAGTTGGCTAGGATGACACCTGGGTTCCAGCTTGAGCAAATGACGCTCACATACAGACTTGCATACCTTCAAACATACCAAAAACATGAAAATGCAGAGACTGAGAAAAAATGTCAACACGCCCACCCATAAACACAGACCAGGACACACATTAGCCAAGACACGTACCTACCAATGTACACACATCCGTGTGAACCCCAAAGACACACTCACCCCTGACCAGCACATACCCGAGGCACAGAGAGAGAAGGAGCAACACGCAGATACACACAGAAACACAAGCAGAGACCAGCAGTGCCACCCTGGAGCTACCCCTGGCTGGCTGTGTGACCCCAGGTGTCCATGCTACCTCTCTGTGCCTCAGTTTTCTCATCTGCCAAAAAGCGATGGTAATGAGCCCTCCCCTCGTGGATTGTGGAGCAGATGACACAAGTTACTTCACATAAAGCACACAAAGAAACCAGTGCCTGGCACACAGTGGTTGTTGGTGCAATGTCTGCTCTTTTATGCAGACTCTCAGGGAGCCGGCCACATGCACTGGGCCCCACCTGCATCTGATCTCAGGTCTTCCCGTTTCAAAGGCCTTTGTCTCCTCCTGAGCCCCAGACCTGGCCCTTCCTCCTCCTTCCCCCACATCCTTCCCTCTGCCCTTCTCACCCCTGCTCAGTCCCCAGGACCCAACATCCAGGCAAGATACAGCTGTCCAGAGGCTCCTTAGCGCCAAAGGCAGGTGCCCAGTGGGTAGGACACCCACACACACCTAACAAGGGCTCAACCCCCTCAGACCTACCTCTGCCCTAGTTATCATTATCATCCAGGCCCTAGCGGGCCTGCCCCTGCCCCAGTGCCCTCTGCCTGGAATTCCTGTGAAGTTTCTGGCAGTCTCAGCACCCCTTCCAGCTTTGCCCATCCCAGCCCTCAGGGAGCTGCCTAGAACAGGGCAAAGGGCAGGACTCCGGAGTCACTAGGGCCTGGGATCCAGCCCCTTCCCCACCGCTTTGTGCAAGTCACTAGTCCTAGCAAAGGTATCCTCTCTCGTCTTTAACAAGACCTACCCCGTAGACGGGAAGCAAATGAGACTGGGTTTATAAAGTGGCAAATCGCAGCGTCAGACAATATTTACCAAGCACTGGACATGCGCCAGACACCACACAAGGGCTGAATAATACAGACACAAGTCCCTGCCTTCGGGGAGCCTATAATCTATCTAGTGGGGAGACAGAGCAAATGACATAAATATAGACGTACCCCGGAGAGACTGCAGGTCTGCTTGTAGACCACCACAATGAAGTGAATCTCACAATCAAGTCAGTCACACGAATTTTTTGGTTTCCTAGTGCATAAAAAAGTTATGTTTAGGCCGGGCGTGGTGGCTCATGCTTGTAATCCTAGCACTCTGGGAGGCCGAGGCGGGCGGATTGCTCAAGGTCAGGAGTTCAAAACCAGACTGAGCGAGACCCTGTCTCTACTATAAAAATAGAAAGAAATTAATTGGCCAACTAATATATATATATATATATATATATATATATATATATAAAATTAGCCGGGCATGGTGGGGCGTGCCTGTAGTCCCAGCTACTCGGGAGGCTGAGGCAGTAGGATTGCTTGAGCCCAGGAGTTGGAGGTTGCTGTGAGCTAGGCTGCCGCCACGGCACTCACTCTAGCCTGGGCAACAAAGCGGGACTCTGTCTCAAAAAAAAAAAAAAAAAGTTATGTTTACACTATACTGTAGGCTATTAAGTGTACAATATCATTATGTTTTTAAAAACAATGTACATACCTTAACTAAAAAACACCTTTTGCTAAAATTGGAATCAGTCCTCTCAAACCCTGGCACTGCATTATCAACTAAGTTTATGGAATATTCTGAGTCCTTTGTTGTCATTTCTACAATGTTCACTGCATCTTCACCACAAGCAGATTCCATCTCAAAAAACCATTTTCGTTGTTCATCCATAAGAAGCAATTCCTTATCCATTACAAAGTTTTATCATGAGATTGCAGCAATTCAGTCACATATTAAGACTCCACCTTCTAATTCTAGTTCACGTGCTATTTCTATGACATCTGTAGTTAATTCCTCCACTTGAACTCTTCAAAGTCACCCATGATGGTTGGAATCAACTTCTTCCAAACTCCTGTTAATGTTGATATTTCAGCCTTCTCTCATGAATCACAAATGTTCTTTATGGCATCTAGGATGGTGAATCCTTTCCAGAAGGTGTTCAATTTACTTTGCCTAGATCCATGAGAAGAATCACTCTCTATAGCAGCTATAGCCTTATAAATTTTTGTTTGTTTGTTTTGGGGGCTTTTTTTTTTTTTTTTTTTTGTAGAGACAGGGTCTTGCTCTGTTGCCTAGGCTGGCCTTGAACTCCTAGGATAAAGCAATCCTCCCACCTCAGCCCCCCGAGTAGCTGGGACTACAGGCACACACCACCAGACACCGATACGAAATGTATTTCTTAAATAATAAGACTTAAAAGTCAAAATTACCCCTTGATCCATGGGCTGCAGAATGGATGTTGTGTTAGCAGGCATGAAAATAACTTCAATCTCCCTGTACACCTCCGTCAGGGCTCTTGGGTGACCACATGCATTGTCAGTGATCAGTGTAACATTTTGTTTTCTTCTGAGCAGTAGGTCTCAACAGTGGGCTTAAAATATTTAGTAAACCATGCTGTAAACTGATGTGCTGTCATCCAGGCTTTGTTGTTCCATTTATAGAACATAGGCAAAGTTAGATTTAGTATAATTCTTAAGGTCCCTAGGATTTTCAGAATGGTAAATAAGCACTGGCTTCGACGTAAAGTCATTAGGCATTAGCGCCTAACAAGAGAGTCAGCCTGTCTGTCCTTTGAAGCTTTGAAGCCAGGCATTGACTTCTCCTCTCCAGCTACAAAAGGCCTACTTGACACCTTCATCCAGTATAAGGCTGTTTTGTCTACATTAAAAGTATGTTGCTTAGTGTAGCCGCCTTCATCAATTATCTTAGCTATATCTTCTAGATACTTCGCTGCCGCTTCTACATCAGCACTTGCTGCTTCACCTTACACTTTGATGTTATGGAGGCTTCTTTCCTTTGATGTTATGAAGGCCTCTTTCCTTACACCTCATGAACCAGCCTCTGCTAGCTTCCAGCTTCTCTTCTGCAGCTTCCTCACCTCTCTGAGCCTTTGTAGAATTAAAGAGAGTCACGGCCTTTCTCTGGATTAGGCTCTGGCTTAAGGGAATGTTGTGGCCGGTTTGATCTTCTGTCCAGACCACTCAAACTTTCTCCATATCAGCCATAGGGCTGTTTTACTTTCTTAGCACTCTTGTGTTCACTGGAGTAGCACTTTTAATGTCCTTTAAGAACTTTTCCTTTGCATTCACAGCGTGGCTGTTTGGCGGAAGAGGCCTAGCTTTGGGCCTATCTTAGCTTTCAACATGCCTTCCTCACTAAACTTAATCATTTCTAGCTTTTGATTTAAAATGAAAGATGTGCAACTCTTCCTTTCTCTTGAACATTTAGAGGCCATTGTAGGCTTATTAATTGATCTGACTTCAATAATGTGCGTCTCAGGGAATAGGGAGACTGAGGAAAGGGAGAGAGATGGGGAACAGCCAGCCAGTGAAGCAGTCAGAACACACACATTTATCAGTTAAGTTCACTGTCTTATATGGGTGCTGTTGGGTGGTGCCCCAAAACAGTTACAATAGTAGCATCAGAGATCACTGACCACAGATCACCATAACAGACATAATGATAATGAAAAAGTTGTTGAAATGTTGTGAGAATTACCAAGGCACAGAGGCATGAAGTGGGCACAAGCTATTAGAAAAATGGCACCAATAGACTTGCTCAGCGCAGTTACCACAAACCTTCAATTTGTAAAAAACGCAGTATCTGCAAAGCACAGTAAAGGGAAGTAAACCTGTAGTAAATTGCATGCTATGTTAGACTGTGATAAGTGCCAAGGAGAAAAATAACCCAATACGCCGTCTCAGCGAGGCCGAGTGCGCCCACAAAGCAAACTGCATGCAGAAAATGCCACCTGTAGGTACCAGTCATAAAGCACGTCCCCACCCTGAGTGGGCAGGATGGCTAGGTACAGTTTCCACGTGAGGAAACCAGACTCACCCAGGACTGCCTACTGAGTGGCGCAGGCCAGTGTCCCATTTCCACAGCCACAGGCTGAGAGCTGCCTCCCGAGGCCTCTGTCCGTCTATCCGTGTGGCCGTCTGTTCACCAGCCCTGGGGAGGGGCTCTCCCAAGCCCCACTCCAGCGCCCATGGCCTGCACTCTGCCTCTGCATGCTTTCCTTCCTCCTTTGGGTGTTTGCTGAGCACCTACTATATGCCAGGCCCCATGATAGGCCCTGGGGCCACCCCCTTCCCTCACAGGGATGACAGTCCAGGGTGAGAAAACAGAGGATTTGCCTCGACCTAGGCCTCAGGGCCCCTCATCTGCACAGGGCCCTGCGAAGGCCCTGTACTGAATCTTGTATTTGTAATTTTGTGATCATCTTCCTAAAGAGCCACACCCCCATACCTTATGTTTCATGGCTTCATAAAACCTGATTCTGTCCTGGTGGAGACGAACAACAAACATGTAAACAAATAAGTGTATAATTGTAAAAAGTGTCAAATGCCAGGAAGGAAAAGCACTAAGTATTATGGCAGAAAATAATGGGGAGTGCATATCTCCAATGGGGAGGGGAGTTGAGGTGTACCCCTTTGAGGAGGTGACAAGTTGAGGACTGCAGGGTGAGAAGGAGCCAGCCGGGCAAGGAGCCTATGGAGTAACACAGGTGGAAGGTCTCCGAGCCTCTGCTTCCCCACACACGGAGTGGGGAGGCAGTCACAGCAGGGCGGGCTGTGAAGGGTAAGTGGCAGGTGCAGGGTGCCCACTGTGGGCACACCACCCAGTAGGACCTGTGGCTCATGCCCCCGGCTCAGTTTGGAACTGCCCTTAATCAGCTTTTGTCCTCCCAGGAGGGACAAGTAGGGCTGGCTACCTCCTCTCTCCCCCCAGCAGCTGGGGCCGGCTGTGCCAGGGCCAGGCTTGGGGGCGGGAGCTGAGATCACTGGGCCTTTGGCTCTGTGAGTCCACTCTGGGGAGAGAGAAGCAGCCTGGCTGGGTGAGAGGGGACAATTTGTTCAGGACTGGGGCTCGGACCCCTGAGTCTGACGGAGGAGGGGCTGGGGGCCTGGACTCCTGGGTTCTCCTGGGACAGGGACTCCCAGTTGAGCTGGGGCTGGGAGCGGGCAGAGAGCGGGGGTAGGGAATTGGGCTCCGCACTCTGTTTATAACACGTGCTCCTCACTGTCCTTTCTGGGTGGGAGGTGACTCTGGTGGCCACACCCTGGACAGGACAGCCCCTCCCCTAGTTTATCGCCCCAGGCAGCCACTGGCACAAGCCACAGACTAGCAGTCCCAGCCCGGGAGCTCAGAAGAGGCCTGGGAGGGGTGAGTGCGCAGCCAGCTGCGAGACAGGAATAGCCGCTGCCAGATCCCAGGGCCAGGGAGAGGAGACACCTTCTTGGGGAAGAGGGAAACAGGCAAGGTGTCAGGCTTCGGGCTTCGGGAGGGAAGAGTTCCTGGGACAGGTGGTAGCATCCCCACCAGGAGGGCAAGGGCCGCTTGTCCGGGACCTGGGTGACAGGGCATCCAAGTAAAAGGGTGGCCTGAGTGCCTTGGAAATTGGGGATACCAGAGGGAAGATTACTGGGGACCCAGAAGTGTGGGGAGTTGGACGTAGTATAGCAGAGGTTTTGAGGGCCAGAGCTAAATGTCTGGCCTCCGGAGCCCAGGAGGGCACCCGGCATAAATATGGCTCTGGACCCAGAGACCTGGGTTTGAATAAGCTCTGCTACTTTCAGTGCAACCTTCAGCCCCTTTCTTAACACTTCTGAGCCTCCATGCTTTCTCCTGTAAAATGGGGTGTGGGCAACAATAGAGATTTGAACCTAGGCACCGTGTGTCTCAGAGGGTTAGTGCACTACACGGGCAAACGCACAGACAGCTCTCAGCACAGCTCGAGGTCGGTGGCCACGATGAGTACCGCTGTTCCAGCCAGGGGAGTGGGGCCGGCCGTGCAATCTAAGACAAGTGGGGGGCCCGAAGGCCAGGGGACCCAGCTGGAGGAGAATCAAGACCTGGTTTGGGGAACTGAGGCTTAGAGGGAGTTCCACAGCCAGACTTGAGGGGTTAGGAGTGGCTCCTCACTGAAAAGGCTAGAATTATGAATTCCTGGTTCAGGAAGAGAGCTGGGCCTGGGGGCTAGGGTCCCTGGAGATGGGAATGGGTGGGCTGGGGGCTAAACTCTCCCAAATACTAGTGAAGAGGGAGGGCCCATGGGTGGCATCCCGGGCCTAAGAAGGAAAATGAGATGGGGGCCTGGACTCCTGGGGCCTAACAGAGGGGACCAACTGGGGATCTGGACTTCTTGGGGCCTAGGAAAAAGAATCCTGGGCCTGGAGAGTAAATGGGGACAGGTGCCTGAACTCAGGGGTTCCTGGGAGAAAAAAAAAAAAGGTAGGTGGACTCCTGGGTCCTAGGGGCGAAGCAGGAGCTACAGAACCAGATTCTTATGGGTTCAGGGGAAAGTCTGCATTCCTGGGTCCAACAGAGAGGAGGCGGCCAGGGATGGCAAGGTTCTGAGTCCCAAATAGGTGAGAGCAGGGGCTCCTGGGTCCTGGAGAGGACGAGGTAGGGGCCTGGGTACCTGGGTCTGAGGGAAGAGGGGACTGACAGGGGACTCTGAGCAGAAAGCTCCTGCTCAGAGCTGTCTGTGCGTTTGCCCGTGTAGTACACTAACCCTCTGAGACACACACTGCCTAGGTTCAAATGTCTATTCTTGCTAGCACCCATTTTACAGGAGAAAGCATGGAGGCTCAGAGGTGTTAAGAAAGGAGCTGAAGATTGCACTGAAAGTAACAGAGCTTATTCAAACCCAGGTCTCTGGGTCCTGAGGAGGGAGAAAGGCATGGGGACTTGAACTCATGGGTCCTAAAGAAGGAAGGGGACAGGGCCCCAGCCTCCTGAGTCCTAGGAACAAAGAAGGTAGCTTCCTAGGTCCGAGGGAGGAGGCACCTGGGGTCCTGGACGCCCAGCCTGAAGGAAGGGAGGGCTGGGTCTGAGGGAGGAGGGCGCTAGGGCCCAGACTCCTGGGCTCCAGGTGGGCAAAGAGTAAGCCAGCCCTGCCTAACAAGACTCCCCACCTACCCACAGCCTCAAGGCTCATACACAACATGGACCTGCGCACAATGACACAATCGCTTGTGACACTGGCAGAGGACAACATGGCCTTCTTCGCTAGCCAGGGCCCGGGGGAGACAGCACGGCGGCTGTCGGGTGTCTTTGCCGGTGTGCGGGAGCAGGCGCTGGGGCTGGAGCCAGCCCTGGGCAGCTTGCTGGGTGTGGCGCACCTGTTTGACCTGGACGCAGAGACCCCGGCCAACGGGTACCGCAGCCTGGTGCACACGGCCCGCTGCTGCCTGGCGCACCTGCTGCACAAAGCCCGCTACGTGGCCTCCAACCGCCGCAGCATCTTCTTCCGCACCAGCCACAACCTGGCCGAACTGGAGGCCTACCTGGCCGCCCTCACCCAGCTCCGAGCTCTGGCCTACTATGCCCAGAGCCTGCTGGCCACCAACCGGCCCGGAAGACTCTTCTTCGAGGGTGATGAGGGGCTCACCGCCGAATTCCTGCAGGAGTATGTCACACTGCACAAGGGCTGCTTCTATGGCCGCTGCCTGGGCTTCCAGGTGAGTCCCCTGCCCTGTGCCCCATGGCATCTGGTCACCCCTCGATTGACCCAGTAGTGTGATAAAATAACCGCAGCGGTCAGGGTTGGGTTCAGAAAACAGCAGACCCAGAAAGAGGAAGTTCGCTGGAGCTTAGACAGAGCTGCACCAGGGGTCTCAAACTCATGGTCCCTGGGCCAGATCTGCTGTGTAGTGAGAAATCTTCAGCTTGCATGGCTGTTCTCACCAGGACACCCACTGCGCTCCCCTGTCCTGCATTCAGGAGTCACTCGCTCTTCTGTGTTAGCTGTGTGGCCCCTGAAGTTATTTGAGTTTGAGACCCCTAGGAGGGAGGCATTGTTCTCGAAGGACTGATCTGTGCACGCCACTTAGTTTGGCCCCTGGAGCCTTAGAGGGAGAGGGGACGGCAGCCCACAGCTGCTGGGCTGTGCCCTGGGCTTTTCCACTTGCTTAAGGAGCTGTAGGATCACAGGATTTTCAGGCTGGAGGGAGGGCCAACGAGCCAATCAGAGTTGGTGACAGTGAGGAAGCCCTGGTGTGGCCTCTGTCCTCCCTGAACCAGGCGGCCTCCTCCCCGCTGCCCATCCCAAACCATGCTCAGAGAAGTGCAGCTCATCAGCGCTCGAAAGTGAGGCAGCCTGAATCAGGCCCTTGTGTAAAAAGCGGTTTAGGGACTCAAATAATTTGGGGGCCTCGAGGCACCAGGCTCACAGCTGAGGCCCAGCTTGTCCCTGTTGGGGTTAGGGTTGGGTCCTCCAGTCCCTAGCTGCATCAGGGGACCCCAGCAGGAGTATCTGGAGCTGGGTGGCCCTGTAGTCCCTCCCACGCTCTCTGGGCCTCTCCCAACCTCAGCAAGAACTGGGCTTGGCAGTCCCTCAAGCCTCTCCTCCCCGCCCCACGCCCCAGGCCTCCCTGCGGGCCATCCTGTCCTCAGCAACCCAGCCCGGCATTCCTGGAAACCTCTCCTCACCCAGGCTGAACCCACAAATATTGATCAGCCCAGCTGGGCCAGCCAGCTCCTCCCTGTGGCCCAGCCACGACCTTGGAGTCATGAGAAAGAGATTCTGGGGCCGCTCGAACCAGCATCGCAGCCACAATGGCCAGGCCCTCTGGCCCACTAGGCCTCCCGCCAGGGGCAGGGCCCAGCTCTGCCATGGTGCAGGGCAGTCTCCCTCTAAAATGTCACCCCCCCAGGAGGACAGAGTCCTCCCCGTCTCGGTGTCTGCTCCAGCCTAGTGTCTAGCAGGCAGTAGGACCTCAGCCAGTGTTTGTTAAGTGAACAGAAGACTCCTGCTGGCCCCTTGCCTCAGCCTCCTGTGGCATTGTTTCCTCTGATCCTGTGTCCCCACTGTCATTTCTTAACTGCCTGTCTGCTCTCAGATGCAACAACTCCCTATTCCTCAGTTGTGGCTCTGTCCCTGTCCCTAGGCCTCAGTCAGTCTCCCTCCCTCTCTGGCTATCTTTCTGCCCCAGATCTCTGTACCTGGCTGGCTGTCCAGACACCTCCCTTTTCCTTGCTTCCTGCTGTCCCATCTCCCCATCCTGTCTCTGACTTTCAGGAAGTCCCCACACCGTCTTTCTCCCCAGCTCACAGCCAGCCCGCCAGCGGCTCCACCTCACACTGAGAATGAAACTGAAATTCCCCAGCCAAGGCCAAGCATGAGCCCCCCTGCCCCTCCCACCCCTGCCCTGCTCACCTGCTCCAGGCACGCCAGCCCCCTGGCTTTCGCCACCCATGCCAAGCCCAGGCCCCCTCTAAGTCTTCGTGCTTTCTGTGCCCTCTGCTGGGAATACCCTTCCCTTGCTCCATTCAGACCGATCCCTACTTATCACTCTGTGTCCCCTCCACCTACTGTCATTTTCTTCAAATTATTCCTTCTTCATGACATGACATTGCATATGGCCTTGTTTATTTGCTGATCATCTCTCTTCCCTTCGAGAATGTCAGGTCCACGAAGGGGCCTAGAGCCACGCCTGGCCCACGGTAGGAGCTCACGAAATGTTCACTGAATGAAGTGTCTCCCCCACGCATCCCTCCCTCTCCTGGGGGGGTGGGTGACAGCACGTCTCTCTCTGCGCAGTTCACACCCTCCATCCGGCCGTTCCTGCAGACCATCTCCATCGGGCTGGTGTCCTTTGGGGAGCACTACAAACGCAACGAGACGGGCCTCGGTGAGTCCCAGCCAGGCCCTGCCCGCAGCCTCCACTCCTGCTTCTCCTCCCCACCCCTGCCCAAGCAGCCTGACCCACTGGGACTCCCTGACACCCGTCCCACCCCCCAGGTGTGACCGCCAGCTCCCTGTTCACCAGTGGCCGCTTTGCCATCGACCCAGAGCTGCGTGGGGCTGAGTTCGAACGGGTCATACAGAACCTGGATGTGCACTTCTGGAAAGCCTTCTGGAATATCACCGAGATTGAGGTGCTATCGGTGAGCCTGGGGCCCGGTGAGGACTCTAACTTGTTACAGATGGGGACGCTGAGGCCCAGAGACCCATCTGAGGCCACAGCAGGGCTCTGCAGGGCTCCAGGCCCAGGGAGAGCAGCACAGGAGGGGAGAGGCTGAGGATCACAGGGGAGCTGTGGGCCTCTGCTGCAGGCGTCCTCCCTAGAACCCCCTGTTCCCTCCCAACAGTCTCTGGCCAACATGGCATCGGCCACCGTGAGGGTAAGCCGCCTGCTCAGCCTACCACCTGAGGCCTTCGAGATGCCACTGACCACTGACCCCACGCTCACGGTCACCATCTCACCCCCGCTGGCCCACACGGGCCCTGGGCCTGTCCTCGTCAGGCTCATCTCCTATGACCTACGTGAAGGACAGGTAGGGTCCCAGCCTCGGCCAGGTACAGGCCAGGAGCCAAGGGCCGCGGACAGCCCCTTGGCTCCCACCCTAGATGCCGCACACACCTCCCCCATCCTGTCCCTTGAGCACATCCTCTTGGAGAGGTGCGGCCCGGGAGGCCCAACCAGCCTCACCCGCCGCCTCCCTGCCCACTCCCAGGACAGCGAGGAGCTCAGCAGCCTGGTGAAGTCCGAGGGCCAGTGGACCCGGGAGCTGTGGCAGCGCGCCCAGCAGGCACCCCGCTCACGGTCCCTGGTCGTGCACTTCCACGGCGGCGGCTTCGTGGCCCAGACCTCCAAATCCCATGAGCCCTACCTCAAAGGCTGGGCCCAGGAGCTGGGTGCCCCCATCCTCTCCATCGACTACTCCCTGGCCCCCGAGGCGCCCTTCCCCCGCGCGCTGGAGGAGTGCTTCTTCGCCTACTGCTGGGCCGTCAAACACTGTGCCCTCCTCGGTGAGCCCAGACCTGTTCCCACCCCTGCCCCAACCCGCTGCTAGCTCCTTAGCCCCAGCCTGGCACCCTGCCTCCCCCACGCCCACCTCCCACCCCGAACCTGCCCCAGTCTTCCCCTTTCCAGCCCGAGTCTCCATCTCTTCCACCTCCTCATCCACTTTAATCCACTTCCCACCCACCCTCCCGCCTCCGTAGCCTCTGCATTTCTTGTCCGACTGTCACAGGCCCAGCTGTCCTGCACCGCCAGCCTCCTGGATTACACCGGCTCATGCTCCAGCTTCCCTGCCCTCCCTCTTCAAATACTAGCTTCGTTCATCTTGCTCACTCTTGAGAAAAAAAAAAAAAAAAAAAAAACAAATACTAGCTTCTTGGGAGGACACTGAGGCCCAGAGCAGGGTGTGGGCACCCCCTAGGACACAGGGCCTACAGCCCAGCCTGACGCTCCGCTCCCACGCGCTGAGGCCTCTCCCTCCTGCACCAGGCCCAGAGCTTGAGTGCCTCCCGCCCTCCCTCCCCCATCTCCTGCCCCTGCCAGGCTGTGACCAAGCCTCCCCCAAACCAGGCTCAACAGGAGAACGAATATGCGTTGCGGGGGACAGCGCAGGCGGGAACCTCTGTTTCACCGTGTCGCTTCGGGCAGCAGCCTACGGGGTGCGAGTGCCAGACGGCATCATGGCAGCCTACCCGGCCACCATGCTGCAGTCCGCCGCCTCTCCCTCCCGCCTCCTGAGCCTCATGGACCCCCTGCTGCCCCTCAGCGTGCTCTCCAAGTGTGTCAGCGCCTACTCGGGTGAGGCCCACACCCTCAGAGCAGGGGGTGCAGGGTGCTTAGATGCCAGGGTCCTTCAGGGGCTGGGGCCTGGGCCCCTGGGGTTTAGGAAGGAGGAGCCGGGCAGAAGAATCCGAGACTCCTTCTTTCTGAAGCAGTCAGATGGGCACAGGTTCCTGGGGACACAGATGCCTAAAGTTCTGGGTGCTAAGACTGGGCCCAGAAAGAGAGGCGACCACTGCAGCCCCACATACACTCTGCAGGTGCGGAGACAGAGGACAACTCCGACTCGGACCAGCAGGCACTGGGTGTGATGACACTGGTGCGGCGGGACACAGCTGTGCTCTTCCGAGACCTCCGCCTGGGTGCCTCATCATGGCTCAACTCCTTCCTGGAGCTGAGCGGGCGCAAGACCCAAAAGATGGCACAGCCTGTGGCAGGTGGGTGACTCCCTCCCACCAGGCACCCAGCCAGGGTGGCCAGGAGGGACAGCCCAGTACAGCAAAAGCCCCGGGGCACACAGTTGAGCAGAGATCACCTTCCGGGCTGGCTCTACCCCATACCTATCTCTGGTCCCTACCACAAAGCCTAGCTTTTCCATGACATCCTAGAAATGCCAGGACTTCGGGTCTCCCAGGTCATCTCGGAAATTGCAGGATTTAGCTTTTCAAACAGCCTCACCCAGAAAGGCCCCACACCCTGGCAAATAGAAGATCTGCCACACATCCTGATTTTCAATCCCTGGAAATCCCTTGAGTCCACTCCTCCTCGATTCTTTTTTTTGTTTTTTTTTTTTGAGACAGAGTCTCACTTTGTTGCCTAGGCTAGAGTGAGTGCCGTGGCGTCAGCCTAGCTCACAACAACCTCAATCTCCTGGGCTCAAGCAATCCTCCTGCCTCAGCCTCCCGAGTAGCTGGGACTACAGGCATGCACCACCATGCCAGGCTAATTTTTTCTATAGATATATTTTTAGTTGGCCAATTAATTTCTTTCTATTTATAGTAGAGACTCGGTCTTGCTCTTGCTCAGGCTGATTTCGAACTCCTGACCTTGAGCAATCCTCCCGCCTCAGCCTCCCAGAGTGCTAGGATTACAGGTGTGAGCCACCAAGCCCGGCCCTCAATGCTTTCCAGACTTCTAACAGCCATACAGGAGGCTAATACCCCCCCATGGGCTGTGGTGCTGGGGTGGGGACATCAGCAGATTCGAGGGACCCTGGGAAATGGAGGAGATGCCCAGCCTCAGGTAGATGGCAGGACCCTCAGACAGCTGAAAATCACCTCCATCCAGGGATCCATTTTTAAGGATTTTAAGGCACAACTAATTCAATTTATTTTCTATCTCTAGCAAGTCAACAGCATTCTCTGAATAATAGCAATTACATGTTCAAAAGTAGATACAGTTCCTATTATTCAGAAAATTATTCCAATTGAAGGCATTTTAGTTTAAATTATATTTTTAATTTTAGGATTTTCAAATGGATACAAATATATACACAACAACAACAATTAAAAGGAAGTTGCTGGGAGGCCGAGGCGGGCGGATTGCTCAAGGTCAGGAGTTCGAAACCAGCCTGAGCAAGAGCGAGACCCCGTCTCTACTATAAATAGAAAGAAATTAATTGGCCAACTGATATATATATAAAAAATTAGCCGGGCATGGTGGCGCATGCCTGTAGTCCCAGCTACCCGGGAGGCTGAGGCAGAAGGATCACTCGAGCCCAGGAGTTTGAGGTTGCTGTGAGCTAGGCTGACGCCACGGCACTCACTCTAGCCTGGGCAACAAAGCGAGACTCTGTCTCAAAAAAAAAAAAAAAAAAAAAAGGAAGTTGAATTTGAGGCATATGGACCATTGGGCACTGGGGTTTTCCTTGTAGGATAAAAGTGACAAATGCAGCCCCTGGAAGCTCACGCATTCCTGCTCTCCCCTCCACCAGTTATCTGCTGGCTACTGGGTGACATGGACAAGTGACAGTATCTGTGAATCTTGTTTTGCCCCTCTGTGAAATGGGTACAGTAAGAGTACCTACCGTATTAGGTTGCCGTGAGGACTGCATGCACCCATTTGTGTCAAGCACCCAGCACAATGCCTGGCACACAGTAGGTGCTCTTAGAAGATGCCAGCACCCCTGTGCCCTAGTGTCAACAATTCTGTTCCAGTGACCCCATGGGTCACAGAGCACTTATTTGTCTCATATTTTGCCTTCATGAATTTACAGAGGCAAGTAAAAAAAAAACGTAAGTGGCCAGGTGTGATGGCTTACACCTGTAATCCCAGCTACTCAAGACGCCGAGGCGGGAGGATTATCTGAGCCCAGGAGTGCAAGGCAGCAGTGAGCTGCAGTCACGCCACTGCACTCCCGCCTGGGTGACGGTGCAAGACCCCGTCTCTTAAAACACAAAGCTGAAAACGTAGGTCTTCGTGACATTACCTGGTCCTAGTGGTCGGTAATGTGGTCTGATACAATGAATAGAGCCAAAGCCCAGGTGGGCACGCCAGGTGGGCTGAAAGTGCATCTTTAGCATCACTGGGGCACTTGCTTGCCTGGTCACTCTAAGGGAAGGGATAAAACTAAAGCACAAGAAGGAAATTTGGAGGAGCAGATCCCTGCGGTGGTCACAGGTGGGAGATCCCTGGGAACCTGATATACTCTCGAGACTCTCGGTAGCTCCCTGTGATCAGAGCTTCCTTTCAAGCCACAGGGCCAGCTCGCTCTTAGGATCACTTTGATGCATTTATACCCTGTGTCGAGTGGCCAGGAAAAGTTGGCTGGGCCAGCGAGGTGGCTGGCACACAGCACCAGCCTGGCAGTGAAACCTTAATACTGACATCCTGTGACCTCCCAGGAGGTAGCAGAAGCTAACCCCACATATATTATCCCACTGAGTTCTTCCTACCTAGGAACTAAGGACAATTTTTATCTCCTCTTCATAGAAGAAGAAACTGAGGCTCTCAGAGTCAAATTGCACTTAACCTTCCCAGTCATTGCTCGTGTGCACACACACATACACACACACACACACATGCTCTCTGCTGGGACACGGCCTGCCTTCAAGGCTACCACTGTGACAGCCTGTGGCACCTGGAACTTTCCACCCTCACCTAGGCCTCCCGAGCCCCCCACAGCTGAAGGAGGGTTCAGCTTCTCTGCCGGCCACTGCCCTTCCTGTGACCTTCCCTGCCACCCACACACCCAGCTAACAGAGCCAGGCTTCTCTGTGGCCTTGTCCAAGCCCCCGCCCCTGCCCCTCTCACAGAGCCCATGCGCCGCAGCGTGTCTGAAGCAGCGCTGGCCCAGCCCGAGGGCCCCCTGGGCACAGACTCCCTCAAGAACCTGACGCTGAAGGACTTGAGCATGAGGAGCAGCTCCGACACGTCGGACACCGCCGAGATGTCACTGTCAGCTGAGACACTTGGCCCCTCCAAGCCTTCCAACGTCAACTTCTTAGTGGGGTCTGAGAATGCACGGGGACCGGTGGAGGCCAGAAGTGAGCTGAGCCCCAAGGACAGAGGCCTGGGTGCCCAGGCCGCCTTCCCGGAGGGTTTCCACCCGCGGCGCTCGAGCCAGGGTCCCACACAGATGCCCCTCTACTCCTCGCCCATTGTCAAGAACCCTTTCGTGTCCCCGCTGCTGGCACCCGACAGCATGCTGAAGACCCTGCCGCCGGTGCACATCGTGGTGAGCCCCAGACTGGAGTGGCACGCCCAGGGAGGAGCCAGGCTGGTGGGGCACAGGGCCACGTGGGGGAGCAGGGGAGGTGTGCCACCTGGAGCCTGAGTGATGCCTGGGAAGGGAGTCGGGCTGCCAGGGGTCAGGATCAGTGGGGCGCCCAGGGCTTGGGAAATCAAGACAAAAGAGGGGGTTGGAGGTAGGGAGGGACAGGCCGGACAGTGGCCAAGGAGCCCAGTTAAATTCATTCTCTTCCTTCCCACACCTCCCCCTATTCCCTCCCCAACTCCCCGCCCACCCACTGTCCTATCCATGTGTTTCCCCCTCCGCTCATCTGCCCGGTCTCCCCACCCTGCCCCTCCGCACGTCCGTCACTGTGCCCCCCCACCGTCCCGCAGGCGTGCGCGCTGGACCCCATGCTGGACGACTCGGTCATGTTTGCGCGGCGACTGCGCAGCCTGGGCCAGCCCGTGACGTTGCGCGTGGTGGAGGACCTGCCGCACGGCTTCCTGACCCTGGCGTCGCTGTGTCGCGAGACGCGACAGGCCACTGAGCTGTGCGTGGAGCACATCCGCCTCATCCTCACTCCGCCCGCCGCGCCACCGGTCTGAGCCGCCGCGCGGGGGACGGGGGCTGCGGGGGGCGACACTAAAGGCCTCTGTTCCCACCTACGCCGGCCTCGTGGTGAATGCGCTCCGGGGAGGGCGGGAGGGGCGCGAGCTGTGCCTTAAATCGGGGGCGGCAAGGGGGGCGGCACTGGGGCTGAAGCTGAGACCGCGGCCTGGGGAAGGGGGACCCCCCACACACAGGTCACCGAGACAGCTGGACCTGCGCTCCGCCACTGCCTTCTACTGCTGCTGTGACCGGCGCAGGGCGGGGTCTGGCCCTCCCTGGCTGGTCGATTTGTTTGTTTGTTTTGTAAATAAAAGTATTTAATTAATTTGGCCTCTCTCATATAGAGTGGGGTTTTTGCCCACCAGGGGGCAGCATCGGACTCTAGCTGCTGGGAACGAGAAACCTGGAAGGGGCGTGGAGCCTGCATTCTTGGGAGCAGAGGGTGTGGCCTCCCAGCAGACCCACCTCCCCCTCAGACTTAATCTTGGTAGGGTGCTACAGGGCGCTGGGTCCTTAGTTCCCCACCCTTGAAGTCCCTCAGTAAGATCGACTGTCCCTGGGCCCAGTGGAAGGCTACGCCCCTTTACAACTCAGCCTCAGCATCCACCAGGAGAAAAAAACAAATCTCTTTGGGTCTCAAAGGCTCCAGTTACCCAAACTCCCTACAGAATAGGCACAAAGCTGGCAGGAAGCCAGAAACAAACTGGCCACTCAAAATACTGGAAATTTGGCCAGGCGTGGTGGCTCACGCCTGTAATCCTAGCACTCTGGGAGGCCGTGGCGGGCAGATCGCTCAAGGTCAGGAGTTCGAAGCCAGCCAGCCTGAGCGAGACCCCCGTCGCTACCAAAAATAGAAAGAAATTGATTGACCAACTAAAAATATATATACCAAAAAAAAATAATAAATTAGCCGGGCATGGTGGTGCATGCCTGTAGTCCCAGCTACTCGGGAGGCTGAGGCAGCAGGATTGCTTGAGCCCAGGAGTTTGAGGTTGCTGTGAGCTAGGCTGATGCCACAGCACTCACTCTAGCCTGGGCAACAAAGTGAGACTCTGTCTCAAAAAAAACAAAAAAAAAAATACTGGAAATTCGAGCTCTGCCCAGTTCTGACAGCGCCTGAACCAACTCCCTGGAGGCCTGGCCCCTTGTAAGGCTGGGTTTGGAATGGAGATTATTTATACTGAGGGCCTGCATGCCTTCAAGGAGCTTCTGATCCTGGAATTGGGGAGGGTCAGAGGACAGACGCAGGCTGTCACAGCCCCCAGAGTTTCCATCTGTGGTGGTCAGGGAGGGCTTCACACAGGTGGTGGCCAGAACTTGACATTAAAGGATGAACACAAGTTTCGCAGGTAGAAAAAAAAACATGGCAGGTTGTGAGAACCAGTGGGCAGCGATCAAAGCTTCCACCTGGCCAGAAGGTCAAGTGTAAAGTGGGTAGTGGCTGAGGGGCTGGAGTGGTCAGTAGGAGCAGGCCCTGAAGAGCCTGGAGTACAATTTGGACTCTAACTGGAGGGCAATGGGGAGCCACGGAGTACTTTAAGCAGGAAAGGGAGAGGGTCATCTCAGGGCACTGAAAGAGACTGGCGCCCTAGAGGGCAAAGGAGGAGGCTGGGGACAAGGGAAGACAAGGCCTAAGCTGAGGCAGCAGCCATGAGGGTAGGGACTGTGGGTGGAGCATCCCAGAGCCACAACAGTTTGGATGTTGTGGTTAGGGACAAGGTTACAGGACAGCAAGGGGACAAAGATGACAACAGGTCTGGCCAGGTGGCCCATGAGGCTGTCTCCTCACCAGGAAGAGGCTCAGATATGTGTGTGTGTGAGGGGCTGGGGCATACTGGGTGCTGTTTGGGACGTGGTGAGATCGAAGGTGTCCATGAGACAATCCAGAGGGACATCCAACAAGAAGCAGGAGGCAGAAGCAGTCTGGGTGGAGCCAGGGGACTCGAAGCTTTCCAGGAAGCCTGGGCTGAGCAGAAGGCCAGGTCAGAGAGAGCCCTGAGGACCATTCCTCCAGTTCTGGTCCCAACTCTCAACCTGATCCTCCATTGCTGTAAATCCTTACATGGCTCCCCACTACCCTACCCCCAGAGCAAAGTCCAAGCTCCTTAGCCTGGCCTCTGACTACCTCTTCATCTTCTTCTAGCCTTACAGCTCCCCTGCTGGCAAAACCCCCAGTAAGGGGTGGGGAGTAGAAGGCAAGTGCTAGAAGGTTCTGAAGAGCAGCTGGTGAGGGAGGAAGCTGACCAAGAAAGAAAAGGATATAAAGCAAAGGGAGTTCCAGGCAGGAGAGAATGGTCCGTGTTAGCTGAGGATCAAAATGTTATCCTCAGGCCTCAGCAATGAGCAGGTGATCTCGGTGACCTTGTCCAGAGCTGCTGCAGGGCCATGGCAGGTGGGCCACCAGATGTAGTGGGTGGAAGAGAGAGCAGGAGGTAAGGGACTGAGCCAGTGGGCTCCGCAAGGGAGCCAAGGCAGGGGTATGTGTGTGCATGTGTTTAGAGATGATGGAACATTGTAATGTTGCAGGGTGGGGGAGACTGAAGATGCAGCAGCACAGAAAGCAGTTTCTGGAAGGGACAGAAAGCCAGGATCCTCACCTCTGAGGCCCTCCTTCACTCAGCAAGTGACTTCTGAGTCAGGGCCTGTGATGGGGGAGGGAGCTGCGGCCCAGAACTCTCCAGGAAGGTCCAGAGCCACTGGCCAGAGTCACAGCTCCCCTGGTCCAGCTTACAGAACCCCTTGCTCATCTCCGTCAAAACAGTCATCACCCACCAACCTCCTCTTCCTTGTCCCCAGCTCAGGGATGGCTCCACCATCCCCCAAGCCAGAGCTCTGGGTGTTGTCCTGGACAGCCACTTGTCCCCTGGCCCATCAATCCGCATATCGTGTTCTCTCTGCCTCCCGAATCTCCACCTTATCCCCTCAGCCTCTGCCCTGATCCAGGCTCCATCTTCTCCTGCCTGGGTCCCTGCCAGAGCCACCTCCCGGACTACTGACTTCCAGTCTCATGCCTCCAGTTCTCGTCCTAACTCTGACCCCATCCTCTGCTGCTCTAAACCCTACCCTTCCCCCAGGACAAAGTCCAAGCCCACCTCTTTGTCCTCTTCCTGCCTCATAGGTCCCCTGCTGGCAACACAGACCTGACTGGCCTTCCACTTGGGCATCTGCACACAGGATGCTCCTGCCATTGCTCATGCTCAACGCCCTCCCCACACCCTCTTCTCCTGGTACCTCCTGCTCCTCCAAGATCCGGCTCAAGGGCCCCTCCTCGGAAAACCTTTCCCTGACCACGCCAAACCCAAAAAAGATTTCTGGGCTTCCCCCCCCCCCACCCCCGCCGCCTCTGCACACCCCTGCCCATCAGTGTCCGCCCTCCATCTGACCGGGGCTCCTTGAGGGCGCGCCCAGGCCTGACTCATCTCGGTCCCCGCCATCGCCCAGCACGAGGCCCGGCACCCCAGAAGCCTCGGGAAGTGTTTGTTTAAGTAATAAGCGGGTGCGTGTGTGAGTGAGCGAAAGAGTGAGTGGTGCAGGGAGGGAATCAGTGAGTGGGGGAATGAATGAGCGGGCAGGCGAGGCTGAGCGGATGGCCGAGCAGGGCAGGCAGGGGCAGGCCGGAGTGAGGCGTAGGGTGGGAGGAACGGATGGCGGAATATCCGAGTCGTGCATCCCGGGCGCAGTTTCTCCGACGAAGCAAAATGGGTTCGGCCTGGCTACGCTTCCCGCTCCGCCTCGAGCCTCCCCGAGCCTCATCGTTTCCCGTCCCAGCTCTGTCAAGAACCCCAATACTAGGCGTGCAGGAAAGGGCTTACCCGGCCACACCCGCAGAACCGGTTCCCTCGCGAGCCCGCTCAGGCCTTGGCCGAGCGCATCCGATCCCGACCCCGCAGGTTCCGGCCTATTGGCCGACTGGCAGGGACTGGCGGAGACTGACGTCCCCGAGAGCCTATCGCCTTCCAATTTGGGCTGTGGGCCCCGCCTACCAGGGAAAGCGCCCTGAGTGGCCCGGGGAAGTAGGAGGCCGAGTCTCCTATTGGCTGGGTGGTAGTGACTGACGTTGCGAGCAGCTTGTCGCAGCTGGACCAGACGAGCGTCTCGCGTGTGGGACCCGCCTCTGGAGGCAGGTTGCGGAGGTAGCTGCGGGCGCGGTCGGTCGCAGAGGGCAATGAATGGGGTTTCCGGCGGCACAAACCTGGGCTGTTTTGCTGGCCTGATCCTTAGGTCTTGAGGGAGCATGGGGACTTCCTGATCCTGAGGGAGGAGGAGGCTGGGGACCCAAAGAAGGAGGGACTGGGGACCCCAACTTTTGGGTCTGAGGGAGGAGGGGCTGGGAACCTGCTGGGTCTAGCTAAGAAGGGAGACTCCCGGATCCCTGAGTGACCGGTCTGCCCACCGATGACAGGTTTGAGGTTCAGGATTTTATGAGGTTATTTATGGGATTGGAGCCAGCCTTGCCCCCAGGCGAGTGTTCTGGGTCCTGAGGTGGAGCTTGGAATAGAGATGGAGAGAAAAGCTTAGGGAAGCTCTGGCCTGGGTATGTCCATTCCTCGTCTCTAAAAGGGAAGTCAGAGGCAGGGTGCTGTCTGCAAAAGGAACCCAGAGTGGGAGGAGACTCGAGACCCACATAAGACAAAAGAGAAAAACACAGATACCAACAGAGAGATAAAAATAATAAAACAATAATAAGAGCGCTCTCGTACCAACTTTACTGGGCCCGGGTTCTGTGCTACGCATTTTACATAATTATCTTATGTCTTCATCATCACAACTGTAAGAGATCGGATTATTATTATTATTATTATTATTATCCCCATTTTACAAGAGAGAAAATTGAGGCCCAGTGAGGGACAATCAAGATGCAGATGGAAAGAGACAGGAGAGACACAAAACAGATGGAGACAAACAAAGAGAAACAGGCCCAGAGAGAGAAAAGAAAAGCTAGACAGCAAACAGAAGGAGAGGGGCTGAGAGCTGAGACTTCTGGGTGGAGATAGCGGCTATGGAGAGCTGGGGACTAGAACTCCTGGGTTCAGGAGAAGGCAGGACCAAGGATGGGGACTCCCAGGTATTTCCTCCCCTGACTGCATGATACTAGGTTTGTCCAACCCTTCTTGTAGGCGTTGAACCTGGTTTGGGTCGAAAATAATGATTAGGAGGGGAAGATGCATCATTATCCTTCTAGGAGATGATAAGAAAATGATTAATGGGGGTGCCCCTAGTTTAGGAGGGGCCTTTGCCCCATGGCCTCTATTCTTTGATCTGGACAGATCAGAATGCAGAGAAGACTGAGGAGGGGCAGGGCCCTCTCCGTGCCTTCCCATCTCTGCATCTCCGTCACTCAGAACTATCACTGCGGCCCATCTTGGAGACAGGTGGACCACCCTGGGGCAGCAACAGCCTTCCTGTTGGGTCTTCATCTCTACATCTGGGTCTCTACATCTGTTGGGTCTCCCTACATCTCCCCAGAACCCTGAACCCACCTGAGGTCCTGGCACACTTTAGGCACTCAGCAAATTGCTCATGGAATGGATGGACAAATGTCCCCATCTCTCTGTCCCCATCCTGCCATCTTTTTCTGTGTCACCATCATGTTCACCCCTCCCTGACCTCATCAGTCTTGTCTTCCCTTTCACCCTAGGTTGCCACTGGGCCCACTGTCCCCATTAGGGAGAACTGAGGCTCATGTTGGAAGGATTCACTCTCCCAGGGTCACCTGTGGGACTGAGAGAGAGGTGCTCAAGACTCCAGACACAGGCACATTCCCAGCATCTCAGTGTCAGAAATGCAAGATCACACCAAATACCTACCCTCGCAGTATGTGTCAGGTATCATCTTGCGTTTGCACCACACAACCAGAGAATCACACACGCAGCATATATAATCACCTACGAGCACAAATATAGGCACGTAATTCCATGGAATCAATCACCAGCAATGACAACACACAAGAAATATCCTACTTCACATGCAAAACAGACACCCCAGCGATGCAATTACATGCCCACTGATAGGCCACTCATCCAGTCCCTACTAAAAGGAACATGAGCAAAGACTTTGTTTAGTTCCCTCTTGCAACCCTAGCAACTAGAAGAACACATCATCATCGTCGTCATTATCATCATAAAGACAAAATGTTTCCTATGTGCCAGGCACAATTCTCAGCACTTTACATAAATTAACTCATTTAATCCTTTGCAACAACCCATTTTACGTATTGGAAAATTAAGGTGCAGAGAAGTTTAGTGATTTGCCCGGGGTTTTGTAGCCAGTAAGAGGCAGGAGGGATTTGAACCCAAGCCTTCTGGCTCCAGAGCCCATCGCATTAGGCTACCACTCAGTAAATAATTGCTGCCTTAATCCAGTTAGAATTACAGAGCCACAATAACTGGGAACACATCCAACTACCGGTGCACAGTGTGTAGAATCACAGGAGGGCAAGACAGACACACAAATAGAAGAGACCCCTTCACATGTCACATCGCAGACCACAGACACACACAATACATCATGACAATCCCCACACAGACACACAGCACCCCGAGAGTCACACAACCACACACAGAGACACAACACACCCAAACCCAGACAGAGAGACACACCCAGAGATCCGAGTCCCTCCTGTTCCACTCCCAGCCCCTCTGGGCTGGCCCTCAAGGAAACAGCAGGTTTGGGAGAGGAAGGGGGGCCACCTCACTCGTCCGCTCAGCCTGACCGGTTCCACTGGGGCCACGGGTGGCCCAACCCACCTTATGAAACCCACGTTGGGCAACTGGACTCAGACCTGCCTGGACGCCTGCGTTCTGGGGAGAAAGGGGCTGACAACCCGGACTCTGGGCCCCGAGGGAGTAGGAGGCTGGGAGTCCCATGCATTCTGAGGGAGAGGAAGGGGACTGAGACCTAGACTCTCAGGTTCTGAGAAGGGAGGGCTGGGGGCCTGGGACTCCTAGGTTTACTGAAAAGAGGATCCTGAATTCCTAGCCTTGAAAGTAGGGTACCAGATTTAGCAAATAAAATACACGAAGCCCAGTTTAATTTGAATTTCAGGTAAACAATGAATCCTTTTTTAGTATAAGTATGTCCAAATAGTGCATGAAACATACTTATGCTAAAAAAAAATGTATTCACTGTTCATCTGGAATTCAGATTTAACTGGACATCTTGTTTTGGGTGGTAACCCTATTTGAGGGGCATCGAGGCCAGATGGCTGGTGACTGCCGCTGTCACTCCTCAGCCCCCCCAAGCCTCTCCTGTTCCTGCTCCCCACCCTTCCCCCACCCCCAAGCAGGCCACCTCACAGCTTCCCCAGTCCCGATTTCCTCATCTGCATGAGTTGCCGTCTCTAACTGGGGCCCCCACGCTGCGTCAGGAGTGAAGAGAGGAAACTTGAGGACAACTCATATGTCATCCTGGGAGCTCTTGGGTCCTCAGAAGTGACTGATCCTGAGTCACCTGCACCCATAGCCTAGACAGAGGAGGGGATGGGGCCCCCCGGCTGCCTCTGCAGAGAGACGGGGAGCAATGAGGAGCGATAGCGACATAGGAGACAGGCAGGGACACAGAGCCTGGGGACAGAGAGACCCGGAGAAGGGGACACAGAACCAGAGATTTGGAAACAGACTTGTAGATATGAGGAAAGAAATAAGGAGAGATTCAGAGCCGGAGAGACGAAGATGCAGAGACGGGGAGAAAGGGACGTTGAAACAGAAGTGGGGTGACGATATCCCTCAGACATTCGAGTAGCACGATGAGCGCTGCCCGCAGGTCTGGGCATGGGGTCGGGGACAGCCACCTGGGCGGTGCTGGGAGACCAAGGCTGCATCCTGGCGTGCTGGGAGGCTGGGCTCCCAGGCCAGCAGACTGATCCAACTGCCATTACCCCATGCCCATACCCAGTGGGGAGGTGACACCACCTTCTCTGCAGGTGACATGGTGACATCCCAATCTTCTGGTGCCTCCTACATTTTTGGGGTGACACCCGTGCTGGGAACCCCACCCAGCTATAATGCTGCTTCCCTCACTGAGTCACCTCCAAGCCCATCAGGTTTGTCGGGGGGAGACTGGCGACTCAGGCCTCCGGGCCCCCAGCTCCTTCACCCCCCAGGAGCCCAGCAGTCTGGAATCCCAGGACCCCCACCCTACTCGGGCATGTGCAGCCTAATGACACCCAGGAGCCCAGGCCCCCCATGCTCTGCTCTGTGAAGAACCGTGAGTTCAGGTGCCACCCCCACCTCTGCTCTGTGCGGACCCAGGAGTCCTGGCCACACGCACCTCCTGCAGGAACTACGGCTTTTTGGTTCCCAGCCTCCTCCCTTCCCAGTATGGAGGTGGGGTGAGGTGTGTTTATTTACTTCGGTTCCAGCATGAGTCACTCCCCAAAACACACTGCCTCCATGTGTCCCCTGGCCCTGAATGGGAGGACAATGCCCCCATCCCCCAGGGAAGTAGGGACATCACTATGATGAGAGAGACCACCACTGGGCTCTCACCTCCACACCCCGCCTCCCTCTCCCCCTGCCCTCTCCCCGTCTCCCCCTTCCCTTCCCTCTAAGCCTCTGCGGTAGTCCCCCCACCTGCCTCTCCACCCTTCCCGCTCTGCTCTGCATCTCTCTTCTCTGCACCGTCTCCCCTTTTCTTGTTACTTCTCTGCAGACCTTTGTGTCTGTCTCTTTTTCCCTACATCTTCCTGTCTCCCTCCCATGTCTCCATGTCCCTGTGTCCCCTCCGGTGTCTGTGCCCCATCCCCTCACCATTTCTCTCTCCCTCTCCTTTGGTCTCTGCACATTGTCCCAGCTGTGCCCCCCTCTCTCCATCTCTCTGTCTCCACCTCTGCCCACTCTCCTGCCCCCGACCCATCCCTAGGGCCCCATCCATCCGCAGTACTTCCCGGGTCCTGGGGGGTGAGGCAGGAGGGGAAGTGGGGGGTGGGGAAGGGAGAGGGAGGGCGGGAAATCCCGGTGGGGGCAGAGGGTCAGCCAGACCGGATAGGCTCCCTGGGCACCTCTGTCATGCCCTGCCCAGGTGGCCCGCCCATATAAGTGGCTCCTGGCGTGAGACCGAGGATTCAGTGCCTGTGTCACCCACACCTGTGTCTCCATCACTGCCATCGCGGTCCTGCAGGTAGGAGCACCCCTCCAGCAGCTTCCTCTCTGAGGCCGGGACCTCGGCTCTGTCTCCTTCCACATCTCCAGCTGTCTGTCTCCTTGGACATCTGTCTTTCTCAATGCCCCTGGGCGCCTCCTGAACCCGAGTCGTGCTGCGCTGAATGTGGAAGTCCTGAGCCCCAGCATCCCTTCTACTAACCCCCCAGCCTAGGTCATCAGACATGCGGCATTTCTCTTCACCTCTCTGAGCTTCAGTGTTCCGTCTGTGAAATGGGCTTGCAGGGGAGTCAAAGTGCTGGGCGCATATGGGCAGCACTAGGGGCATCTCTACGGGCACCTGGCTCTGATCTCTTTCTCTCCTCGTCTCTGACTCTACCTGTCTCTGTCTCTTGGTCTCTCTCCAGCTCTGCCTCGGGTATGAGGAGGGTCCTCTGGGGTCTGTCGGGCAGCTGTAAAGAGATGGGCGAGTCTCTCGCCCCCATCCTATCCCCTCCCACCCCATGTCTCTGCTCGCCGGCAGGCTGACTGGGCCTCTTTCTCCCCAGCTCCTCTCCCCCTGAGAGCCCAGCCCCCAGTGCCCCAGTCCCCCGCCCTCCCCTCCCAGTATCCAGTGTCCCCTGGACAGACTCCACCGCCGCCGCCGCTCTGCCGTCCCCAACGCCACCTCCTCAGGGCCAGCAAGATGCAGTTTGAGATGCACGACAACGTGAAAGGCAAAGGTGGGAAGGCTGGAGGGAGCAGCAACCCCCTCGGTACTCGGAACCTGGCCGCCTCCCTCCCCTGGGCACCCTGGCTTCGAAGACGGATGGCGCGTGCTTCCACCCCAGAGGCCCCAGAAATGCTGGAACCCAGCGCCCCAGGCCCAGACGAGGAGGAGGAGGTGGCATGCCCCAGCCACCCTCAGACGTGGCGCCCCCCCTTCCTCGGACATGCAGCAGACCCCACCCTCAGCTCGGCCAGCTGCGCAGGAGACAGCGGCCACAGGGACAGGCTGGGGTGTCAATGTCCAGACGTGGCAGAAGGGAAGGGGGAGGTGCGGTAGTGTCCCCTCCATGGGCGGCCTGGTGGCCCTGCCCAGACTGCCCGGCAGAGGGAAGGGTGGCAGGGGCCACACCAGGCTGCTGCTGACCTCGCCCCCACCTCTGCAGCCATGTCCTACCCAGTGACCACTCAGCCCCAGTGTGCCACCAGCAGCTGCTACCAGACCCAGATCAGTGACTGGCACACAGGTCTCACGGACTGCTGCAACGACATGCCCGTCTGTGAGTGCCCCCGCTGCGGGGACGGGGGAGGGGAGGGACGCTCTCTTCCTACCCCTGGAAGCCTATGAACCCCACTCCCACCTCCCTTGGACTCTGAATTCCCACCCTCTAACCCTCACCCCAATCCTCAGACCCCTGACAGTCCCTAGGACCCTGACCTCACACCATACCTCCCCTTGCACCCTCAATTCTCCTCGTGGCGACCCCCACCTCCCCCTTCAAACCCCACCTTCCTCGGACCCCTCATTCTGTCTGGGACTTCTTTCTTCTTCACTTTCTCCAACACTCAGTCCCCCCTGGGACCCTCCTGGGGTGGGGCGGTTAGCCGGCTGGAGGCGCCCGCCCGCCCCGCTCCTGACCGCCCTGCCCCTGGTCCAGGTCTGTGCGGCACCTTCGCGCCTCTGTGCCTCGCCTGTCGCATCGCCGACGACTTCGGCGAGTGCTGCTGCACGCCCTACCTGCCCGGAGGCCTGCACTCGCTCCGCACCGGCATGCGCGAGCGCTACCGCATCCAGGTGCGCGCCCGCGGGACCCGGGGGGCAGGGGGCTGGGACTGGCCTCCCGGGACCCAAAGCAGCGCTGCTCACCTCTCTTCCCCTACCCTCTAGGGCTCCATCGGACACGACTGTGCGGCCCTCACCTTTTGTCTGCCCTGCGCCCTCTGCCAGATGGCGCGGGAACTGAAGATCCGAGAGTAAAGACGTTCTCCACCTTCCTTCCTTCCCGCCGTCCCGCCCGGCCTCCTCGCCCCTCCTGGGAGCGCCTGCCCCGCAGCCACAAAGCCTCCCATAATAAAAACCCGAAAACCAACTCCGCCTACATCCTTTTTGTCCCAGGGAAGGAATCTGGGTGGAGAGAGAGGTTTGGTGAGAGGTGGGGACACTCCAAAGATGCCTAGGTGTGGACCCAGGAGCTCCTGCGTCAGACCTTTGACCCACGCCTGCTGTGTGGGACTTTGGCAAGGCACCCCTCTCGAGGCCCGGCTGTCCTGCTGAATCCTTAACTGCAGACTCCCTAGCTGAAGCTCCACCTGCACCCCAAAATAGAAGCAGAACAGAAAGGCAATCTTGGCAGAACAGTCTAGATTCAAAGAAATGAGCCCCGGGCTCATACAATACCTGTGGATGTGGCCAGGTGAGGTGCATCACAATTTCCTGCACTTTGGGAGGCCTAGGTGGGAGGATCATTTGAGGCCAGGAGTTCAAGACCAGCCTGGGCAACACAGTGAGACCCCCATCTCTACAAGAATTTTTTTAAAAATTAGCCAGGTGTAGTGGGATGTGCCAGTAGTCCCAGCTACTCGGGAGGTCGAGGCAGGAGGATTGCTTGAGCCCAGGAGTTTGAGGTTGCTGTGAGCTAGGCTGACGCCACGGCACTCACTCTAGCCTGGGCAACAAAGCAAAACCCTGTCTCAAAACAACAACAAAAAAAACAAATCCTATGGATTTGGGCCTGCACACTCTTCAAACAGGTGTGGAAGACTTTTGTCTCCAAAGTACAGAACTGCCAAGCTGAAGGCTCCGCTGCTGAAAGGAATCTTTAAGGATTACCCAGTTCAATCAACCTTCTTTACTGCAAAAGCAAATAGCAGATCAGAAAATGTTCAGGTCTTAAAATTGGACAGGCCTGGGATCTAATCTGGACTCTTGCCACTTATTTGCTGTTATCCTGATGACTTCATAACCCTTTCTGAACCTGTTCCCCCTCTGAGGATAACAATTTCTAATGTGTCAAATGGCTACTGTGAGAACAAGAGATGGGACAGGAAAGGCCGAAGTGTGAACTCAGTAAGTCACTGTTAATGTCACTATGATATATAATAAATATTCTAATATTAATATATTATTACTATTATTTGCTGTTCTTCCTCTCTCTCTCTCTCTCTCTCGGTGCATCCAACCATCAAGTGACATCTTCACATGAGATATCTAAGAACCATCTCAAATTTGACACATCCAAAACCTAAATACTGACCCACTCTCCTAACCTACTCCTCCTATAGTCTTCCCCACGTCAGGAAATGGCAAGCTCTATCCTTTCAGTTGCTCAGTCGCTTTCTCTCTCACCCAATGTCCCACCTGTCGACAGATGCAGTTGGCTCTACTTTCAGAACATACCCAGAATCTCACCACTTCTCCCACCCTGCTGCCCCCATCCTGTCCCAGCCACCCTCCTCTCCAAGCCCAACGACAGTAGCAGCTCCCTCACTGGGCTTCCCACTCTGCCCCACCCACTAGGTCTCTTCCTCACAGAGGAATCTGTGAACACCTAAGTCAGATCACATTCCTGCCATGCCCCAAATCCTCCCACGGCTCCACCCCCACAGAGTAAAAGTTAGAGTCCTCACTGTGGCCCAGGATCTGCCACTTGTTCTGTGATGCTGTCTCCTCCCTGTCTCCCCCTTACTCTCTCTGCTCCAACCACAAGAATCTGGTCTCTAAAATGTTTAGCACACTCCTGCCCCAGGGCCTTTGCACTGGCTATTCCCTCAGCTTGAAATGCTCTTCCCTCAGACATCCCTCACTTCTGCTCACACGGCACCTTGTGAGAGAGGGTTCCCACCTTACATTCGATCGCAAGCACCAACCGCCTGCTCCCTGCACTGCGGTTTCTGGTCACTTTCCAGCATATTGCATCATTTCCTTATTACCCAGCACCCCTCTGGCTTATCAGCTCCACGAGGGCAGGGACCTTGATCACTGCTATGTCCCCACACCTACATCAGTGTGGGGCCCATTGTGGGTGATCATGGACAGAAGACATCAGCTTAGGAAGGGAAGTGACTTTGGAGGTGATGTGTGGAGCAACGGAGAGTCCGACAGGCTTGGGTCAGAGTCTGGCTCACCTCCTAATTGGCCCTGAGTTCTTAGGCAAGACACTTCGCTTTCACATCTGGGAAAACGAGCCAGTATCTCCCAGTGGTGATATTGGAAAGATTAAAAGACTCATGCCAAGTACCCAGAACAGTGCCTGGAGGGCTGTAAGCCCTCAATATAATTCCCCACCTCTCCCCGAGTCCCCAAAGTGTTGGTAGAACCCAGGTGTCCGGCCTTGCATGCCCAGCTTCCTCTCACCCTACCTGGCACCTCCCGCATCCAGGTGCGTCCAGGGAGAAGTGACAGCTCCAGTGAGAGGCTGACGAGGAAGGAGGACGGAAGTGCAATACAGTACATTTGTGCAGGAGCACGTGCATGGCCCCGACAGGTGTTGGAGAGAGAGTGGCTCAGCATCCCAGCGACAAGGGCTGGTGACGGGGCGAATGCTCTGCTTAAGAGGGCAAAGTCGCAGGATGACTGCTAGGAAGAGACCTTACGTAAGGGGTCCAAGCACAGCCTGCAGGACTCTTGACGAAGAACCTTAGCTCCTTCCTGGCCACGCAGGATAAACTGTCCTCTGGCCTTGGGACTGTCTCTCTCGCAGCACATCCCGCTGCTCATCAGCTCTGCAGTGGGTAAACCGTTTTTGTTTGTTTGTTTGTTTGTTTGTTTGTTTGTTTTGAGACAGGATCTGTGGTGTGACCGTAGCTCACCATGACCTCAAACTCCTTGACTCTAGCGATCCTCCCACCTCAGCCTCCTGAGTAGCAGGGACTACAGGCACACACCTCCACACCCAGCTAATTTTTTGTAGAGACAGGGTTGGGCCATGTTGTCCAGGCTGGTCTTGAACTCCTGGCCTCAAGTGATCCTCCGGCATGGATTGGAGACACGTGGATTTGAGAGTCAGATGGCCAGTGTTCAAACAGCAGCTGTCACTCAACAGCTAAATGATGTCTGTGACTTTTTGTTTCCTCATCTGCAAAACAGGGATCACACAGCACCTCCCTCACAGGGTTGGTGGAAAGATCCGATGAAACCACTGCAGTACATGCCCAGCAGACTACGTAACATACGGTGCTCAGGAAATTCGAGTTCATACATCCTGGAGGGCAGGGACTACAGGCAGCTGGTAAAGGCAAAACTCGTGTATGGTCAGCAGTCCCTGAAAATCCCATCAATTGCTCACAACAAGACCAACTGTCCAGGTCATCCAGCACTCAGGGGCTGGTTCAGAAAGTCAAGACCCAATCCATCCCTGTCCTGCACGCAGACTATACTCGGACACCTGTGTCTTCCCCACACTTTTTATTTGTTGGTTTGGCCACTCCCCCTCTTTCTCGGATGTGGCCCCTGCCACCTCCGACACACACGCACCGGCAGCGCCTCTCAGACTGGGGCCCCCAGCAAGGGGAAGATGTGGTGCCCAGCCCCGCAAGAACCAATAAGCAGCTGGGGGTTGAAGTCTGGGAGCAGAAGGAGAGTCCCAAGTTCAAGACAACTGCCAGGATTGGGGATAGGGGGGTCTTCAAAGGGTAGAGGAGCTCAGAAGTCCATGGAGGTGGCTCGGGTGGGGGGCAGCCCCTCGGGAGGGCCCAGAGATCGTCAAAGCAATACTGTCTGAAGAGAGCCACGCACTGATGATCCCAGCATGGGCACCCCCAGCCTGGGACCCTCCCGTGCCCACCTGAGGCCGCACCTCAGGCAGAGGGTTGGCCCCCTCTGAACAGGACTCAGTTGTCCCAGCTTTGCTGGGTGACTCTGGAGCCAGGGCTGGGTAACACCCATGCTGAGCTTTGTCCCTCCAGCCTAGGGGAGTGCTGGGCTATCGCACTGTCCCATCTGTTCCTTTGCAGCCACTACCTTCACCAGCACTACCAAGTCCCTGCACTCAATTCCTGCTATTGAAATACAGTGGTGTCTCCACCCCCAGTTGGACCTGGCTGAAGAGATGTCTACAGGCCAACTTGCATCAAAAACTAGACTCATGATCTTACCACCAGCCCCAGTCTGCCCCAGCTTAAACCACCGCACATCCCCAAGCTTCAGGCTGCAGTTAGGGGTCATCGTGGATTTATCCCCCCCTCACCCTGACATCTGTACTGTTGTTACCTTCTTCCACACACATCCTGCATCCTGACTGTCACTGCCCTGGCCTGGCCCTCCCCACATCCTCCTGCTGCGTCTCTTGTCCCCTCCAATCCATAGCTGAGTAATCTCTTAAATAGGAACGTCAGACCCTGTCGCTCCACCTCCAAAAGCCGTCAGCTTCCCATTGCCCTGAGAATTAAACCCCAAACTCCACCCAGGCCCCGGGTGATCCAGCCCCTGCCTGTCCCCAACATCGTGTCCTGATACTTGGTCTGGGACATAATGGCCAGTTTTCTGGTCCTTTCAATAAAATAAGCTGGTCCCCACCTCAGGGCCTCTGCCCTTGCACTTCCCTCGGCCTGGAGACAGTTCCTGAAGCTCCTCCCATGGCCAGTTCTTCTCGGTTGTTCTCAGTGGAGCTTCTCTGAGTGCCCCATCAACTTTACCCCGTGGTCCCTTGCTGCCACTTCTCGCTGAGGTTTCACAGCACGGATCTCTCTCTGAAGCCACCTTACTTGCCTGTGTGTGCGCACACGCACGTGCCAACTGTCTCCCTTCACTAGAGCCTCAGTCCCATGAGATCAGGGAACCTCACATGGTTCCTGCTTTGCCCCATGCCTACAACAGTGCCTGGCACATAGTAGGTGCTCAATAAATAGCTGCTGAATGCAGAACAAAGGATTGTTCTGGGGACCCCTGGGTGATTGGTGGGCCCCCTGGGAGCCAGTGGTCTCTAAGGAGACAGTGTCCAGGGGCCCCCGGGTGGAGGGGCCCCAAGTCTAGGGCGGCCCCATCAGGCGACTCAGATACTGTGGCTGAGGACCCTGCAGCAGGTCAGAGGGACATGCTGGTGAGGTTGTCCTGGCTCAACAGTCCCTTCCGGCCTGCTCCGGCCCCATGCCC